ATAGTAGTAGTAGTAGTAGTGGTAGTAGTAGTAGTAGTAGTCGAACTAATAGTAATCGTAATAGTAGTAGTAGTAATAGTAGTAGTGGTAGTAGTAGTAGTAGTAGCATTAGTAGTAGTAGTACTAATAGTATTAACAGTAGTAGTAGTAGTAGTAGTAGTAGTAGTAGTAGTAGTAGTAGTAGTAGTACTAGTAGTAGTAGTGGTGGTTGTAGTAGTGGTAGTAGTACTAGTAGTATTAGCAGTAGTAGTAGTAGTAGTAGTAGTAGTAGTAGTGGTAGTAGTAGTAGTAATAGTAGTAGTAGTAGTAGTAGTAGTAGCAGTAGTAGTAGTAGTAGTAGTTGTAGTAGTAGTAGTAATATCCAGCGTTTGCAGCAAATGCCATATTATCGTGCTTGCTTTGGCCATCTCACGGTCGCAGTGTAGTAGAAGTACTCCATTACTGTAGTGCTCTAGTAGTAGCATATTGGAACTCTGGTGTTTTAGCGGTAGCGCTGCAGGAAAAGCGCCGTACTATCGCGGAGTCGTGTTGTGCGGTTGTAGGGGTGGCACCGTAGAAACAATAGTCGAATACAGTATTCGTATGAGCTGTACTCTGCGACTGCCTGCAGTGAGTGCACGATTGCACTGTAGTTGGAATGTTCAAATGCCGTAGCTTCGCAGCACTGCTGCAATATTATAATACTGCAATGCTGCAGCGGTGGCACAGTAATAGCCGTAGTACGAGACTGTAGCAGTCGTACTGCAGTAGTGGTATTCTAGTACTGTACACATGGTATTTTGAGAGCGTCTTAAGCCAATAGTCGTACTGCATGGATACGGTGGCAGCACTGCAGTAATTCTGTAGTTGCAGTGGTCTTACTGGTCTTGCAAGAAAGAATAGATTCGAATACTTGATGTAGTAGTCCACTGTAGTACTGTAGCAGACGTAGTCCACTTCTGTAGTACTCGAGCACAGTAGCAGTATCCTCGAGCTGTAGTGGTTTAGTAGTGGTAGCGCTGTAGGAGAAGTGATGTACGATTGTGGAATAGTGCTGTATTGTAATACTGGCAATGTAGAGGCAGGACTCGAATGCAGCATTCGTATGAGCAGTGCTGCACGATTGTCTGCAGCGGGCGCGCCACAAAACTGCAGCCAGAATTGCCCAATGCCGTATTGTCGCAGCACGGCTGTAGTACGATAGTGCTGTAGTGCTGTAGTGGTCACTGTAATAGCCGTAGTACAGCCTTGGAGCAGTAGCACTGCAGTATTGGTATTCGAAGAATTGTACTTGTAGCACCCTGCTACTGGCAGTGGTAGTAGTGGAGCTCTAACATTGGAGTGCTCAAGCAAAGTAGCCGTACCCTAGTACTGCAGCGCCGTAGTAGTACTGTGTTAGCAACAATCTATTGAAATCGGCAACACTCGGCGCCGTCGATGAAAACCAAGGGGGCTCCCCTCCCCCCCAAACCCCCCTCCCTCCCGAACCCCCGTCCCCTCGGCGCCGGCGCCGGCGCTGGCGGCCGCCAGCAGCGCCGACGGCGGGGACGCAGCGACGATGACCAGAGGCAACCCAAAGGAGGAGAGGGGGAGGGGGGGCTGAAACCCCCCCCTCCCTAGCGCGCGGGAGGTGGGGGGGGTTTGAAATACCCCCCCCCATCCCCCCCCCTGGCGCCGGCGCCGGCGCTGGCGGCGGCCAGCAGCGCCGGCGGTGGCGCCAACAACGACGGGGACGCAGCGACGATTACCACCACTACCACCACCGCCACTACCACCACCACCACCGCCTCAACCCACCACCACCACCACCACCAATCCGCCACACAACCACCACCAACACCATCATCACCACAGCCACCACCACTACCACAACCACCACCACCACCACTTACCATCACAACCACCAACTCCACCACGAAAACCCACCACCACTACCACCACCACCACCACAATCTCGACACCACCACCACCACCACCGCCACAACCACCACCACTACCAGCAGCACAACCCACTGCCACCACCACAAACCACCACACCACCACCACCACCACCACCGCCACCACCACCACCACCCGCACCACCTCCACGAACCACCACCACCACCACCACAAACCACCACCACCACAAACCACCACCACAGCCACCACAAGCACCACCACCACAACGCACCATCACCACCACCACCGCAAAAGCACACCACCACTACCACCAACACCACCGCAATCTACCACGCCACCAAAACCGCCACAACCACCACCACTACCAGCAGCGCAACCCACCACCACCACCGCAAACCACCACACCACCACCACCACCGCCACAACCACCATCACCAGCACCACCTCCACAAACCACCGCCACCAGCACAACCCACCACCACCACCACCACAAACCACCACCACACCACCACCAAAGCACCACCACCACAACACCCCACCACCACCACCACAAACCACCACCACACCACCACCAAACCATCACCACCACCACCACCACACACCACCACCACCACCACAACAAACTACCACACCACCACCACCACCACAACCACAACCACCACCACCACCACAACCACCACCACCACCCGTCGTCCGCGTCGACGCTCCCCGCCGCCGCCGCCCGCCGCCGCAGACGCCGGCGCCGGCCCAGAAAAGGAAATCGTCGTCCCCGCCGCCGCCGCCAGCCGCCGCCGACGCAAGCGCCGGCCCAAGAGAGGGGAAGCAGGGGAGGGAGGGGGAGGGGGGGGGGGAATCGAAACCCCTCCCACCCCCTCCGTCACGGGGGTGGGGTTCGACCCCCCCCCCCTCCATCAGGGGGGGTCGAACTCCTCGCCTTCCCGACGCTCCAAGACGGCCCAAGACGCCCCCCAGATCGCCCCAAGACGGCCCAAGAAGCACTCAAGAGGACCCCACGACGGCCCAAGAGGGCCCCAAGACGGCCCAAGAGGCGCCCAAGAGGCGCCCAAGGCGCAAGGACCCCCACAGGGGCCTCCAAGGGAGCCCCAAGAAACCAAAGTCGCCAAAGTCCTTGGTAAACGTACATCTTCAGCACCAACAACTCCTCGCCTTCCCGACGCTCCAAGACGGCCCAAGACGCCCCCCAGATCGCCCCATAACTGCCCAAGAGCCCCACGACGGCCCAAGAGGGCCCCAAGACGGACCACGACGCGCCCTAGAGGCGCCCAAGGGTGCCTTTAGACAGCCCCCGAGAGGCACCAAGGACCCCCACAAAGGCCTCCAACAGGCCCCAGCTCCCCAAGAGGCCCAAAAAAGACTCCAGGAAACGCCAAGACAGCCCCCAAGACACCCCAAGAGGCCTCCCAAAGGAGCCCCAAGAGGCCAAAATCGCAAACATCCTTAGTAAAACGTGCATATTCTGCATCAACAACTCCTCGCCTTCCCGACGCTCCAAGACGGCCCAAGACGCCCTCCAGATCGCCCCAAAACTGCCCAAGAGGCACTCAAGAGCCCCCCACGACGGCCCAAGAGGGCCCCAAGACGGACCAAGACGCGCCCAAGAGGGCCCAAGGGGGCCCAAGGGGGCCCCAAAACGGCCCCCGAGAGGCACCAAGGACCCTCACAGAGGCCTCCAACAGGCCACAGCTCCCCAAGAGGCCCAAAAAAGACTCCAAGAGACGCCAAGACAGCCCCCAAGACACCCCAAGGTGCCTCCCAAAGGAGCCCCAAGAGACCAAAGTTGCCAAATTCCGTGGTAATACGGAAATGCTCAGCACCAACAAATCCTCGCCTTCCCGACGCTCCAAAACAGCCCAAGACACCCCCCAGATCGCCCCAAGGCCTCCAACAGGCCCCAGCTTCCCAAAAGGACAAAAAAAGACCCCAAAAGACGCAAACACAGCCCCCAAGACACCCCAAGAGGCCTCCTAAAGGAGCCCCAAGAGGCTAAAGTCGCCAAATTCCTTAGTAAAACGCACATCGTCAGCATCAACAACTCCTCGTCCTCCCGACGCTCCAAGACGGCCCAAGACGCCCACGAAAACGCCCCAGGATGGCCCAAGAGGCACTCAAGAGGCCCCCACGACGGCCCAAGAGGGCCCCAAGACGGCCCAAGACGCGCCCAAGAGGACCCAAGGGGGGCCAAAACGGCAAAACTGCTTCCGAAAAGCGCCCTGCAAGCCTCGTGGGCCCCCTGGATTAGTACGGCGACGGCGACGGTCAGAGAATCACTGTATAAATATATATATATATATATATATATATATAAACATACATACATACATACATACATACATACATACATACATACATGCATGCATGCATGCAGGCAGGCAGGCAGGCAGGCAGGCAGGCAGGCAGGCAGACAGACAGGCAGGCAGGCAGGCAGACAGGCAGGCAGGCAGGCAGACATATACACATACATGCATGCATGCATGCATTAAATACATTAAATACATTGAATACATACATACATACATACATACATACATACATACATACATACATACATACATACATACATACATACGTACATACGTACATACGTACATACGTACATACGTGCATGCAGACATGCAGACATGCAGACATGCAGACATGCAGACATGCAGACAGACTGGCAGACAGACAGACAGACAGACAGACAGACAGACAGGCAGGCAGACATACACATATATGTATATATGTATAACTATAGATAGATAGATAGATAGATAGATAGATAGATAGATAGATAGATGAATAGATAGATCTCGTCGCCATGGCGCGGGGGGAGAGGAAGAGAAGACTGGCGGAAAAAGTAGCATTGGGTTCAGGCCGACCCAGAAAATAACGAAATACAGCAAAGGCCACATATCGACTCGTGAAGTAGGAGGGCGCTTGAAGTAGATTGGGACCTGGGCATCCAAAAATACATACTTTCAACAACCGGCGGATATGGGTGTGCGTTGTTCGCTCGTCGAAAAAGAGTGGAGGGCGAGGGGGGAGAGGAGGAGAAAACTGCCCCAGACCCCCGAGCTGGAGGGAACACCTGCGCAAGCGCCCCCCCCGCCCACACCAGGCGCCTCCCGGAGCAGCAGCACCAGGGAGGCGCTCTCCTGCCCACTGCGGCGAGAAGGCGAAAGCGGAGGAAGAGGAGATGCGAGGAGGAGGAGGAGGAGGAGGAGGAGGAGGAGGAGGAGGAGGAGGAGGAGGAGGAGTAGGAGGAGAAGGAGGAGGAGGAGGAGGAGGAGAGAGGAAGAGGAGGAGGAGGAGGAGGAGGAGGAGGAGGAGGAGGAGGGGAGGAGGAGGAAGAGGAGGAGGAGGAGGAGAGGGAGGAGGAGGGGGGGAGGAGGAGGAGGAGGAAGAGGAGCAGAAGGAGGAGAAGGAGGAGACGAAGGAGGCGGATGAGGAGAGGGAAGAGAGGGGGAGGAGGAGGAGGAGGAGGAGGAGGAGGAGGAGGAGAAGGAGGAGGAGGAGGAGGAGGAGGAGGAGAAGGAGGAGGAGACGGATGAGGAGGTCCCGAGCGATGAAAGGGACGTCCGAATCACGGACGCCCTCCAGCGAGCAGAAGAGTTCCGAGGACGATAAGCCGATGCATCTGAAATGTCCCTATCCCCCCTATGCCCTTGCTTGTGTGCTCATGCAGCACTGCAAATCGGAACGGTCATGTGTTCTAGTGACGGTCGGCATGCTTCCTGCAAGCCAAGCGCGGCCTAGGAAGAGGAGGAGGAGGAGGAGGAGGAGGAGGAGGAGGAGGAGAAGGGGAACGAAGCGGACGACGACGAAGACGAGGAGGAGGAGCAGGCTCCAGCTGGCCCACCACGTCGCCGCTGAACTCGCTGGTGCTGCCCGCCCAGCGCGCAACTCGTAGCGAGTGCACCGTGGCGCAGTACACCTCTACACGGGGGCCGTGCCAGAGAGGAACGAGAAGGACCTCCACATCCTCTCGTTGACCCCCCAAAAAAACATGACGGAAAGTTGTTGACCATTTTGAACATCTGGGGGCCTTGGCTGGGGACCAAAAACCACAATAGACCCACAATAGAACGGCTCTGGACGAAACCCTTGTTCCGGGGAAGGGGTCTGGATCTCCCCGGGTCCACGTTGCCAAGAAAATACGGCGTCGGAGATCTGGGGAGGACACGAAGGAGCAGGAGCAGGAAAATGAGGAGGGACATACATGAAGGAGAAGGGGGAGGAGGAGGAGGAGCAGGAGGAGGAGGAGGAGGAGCAGCAGCAGCAGCAGCAGAAGGCTCAGGAGAGGACGATGGTGGATTGCCGAAATCGAACTCAGACACGAATGGTTGGGTCGGCTTCGCAAGGGGAGGTGAAGGAACGAGGTGACGTCGTCGTCGTCGTCGTGGTCGTCGTCGTCGTGATCGTCGTCGTCGTCGCCGTCGACCCCGTCGTCGTCGTCGTCGTCGTGGTCGTGGTCGTGGTGGAGGTCAAGGTGGTGGTGGTCGTGGTCGTGGTCGTGGTCGTGAGCGTGGTCGTGGTCGTGGTCGTTGTCCTGGTCGTTGTCGTGGTCGTCATCGTCACCGTCGTCGTCGTGATCGTCGCCGTCGTCGTCGTGGTCGTGGGCGTGGTCCTGGTCGTGGTCGTGGGCGTGGGCGTGGGCGTGGGCGTGGTCATGCTCGTCGTCATCGTCGTCGTCGTCGTCGTAGTCGTCGTGGTCACAGTCGTGGTCGTCGTCGTCGTGGTCGTCGTCGTCGTGGTCGTCGTCGTCGTCGCCGCCGTCGTCGTCGCCACTGTCGTCGTCGTCGCCGTCGTCTTCGCCGCCTCCACCGTCGTCGCCGTCGTCGCCGTCGCCGTCGTCGTCGTCGTTCCCGTCGCCGTCGCCGATCGTCGTCGTCGTCGTCGCCGTCATCGTCGTCGTCGATGTCGTCGTGACCGTCGTCGCCGTCGTCGTCGTGGTCGTCGTCGGCGCGCCGCCGTTGTCGTCGATGTCGTCGTCGAAGTCGTCGTCGCCGTCGTCATTGACGTCGTCGTCATCGTCGCCGCCGACGTCGTCGCCGTCGTCGTCGTCCCCATCGACGTCGACGCCGCCGTCGTCGTCGTCGCCTTCGCTGTGGTCGTCGACGCCGTCGTCACCGTCATAGACGTCACCGTCGTCGTCGTTTTCGCCGTCGTCGTCGTCGTCGTCGCCATCGCAGTCGTCGTCGCCGTCGTCGTCGTCGCCGCCACCGCCGTCGTCGTAGCCGTTGTCGTCGTCGTCGTCATCGTCTTCGTCGTCGTCCCCGTCGTCGTCCCCATCGTCATCGTCGTCGTCGCCTCCGCCGTCGCCGTTGTCGCCGTCGTCGTCGTCATCGTCGTCGCCGACGTCGTCGTCGGCGCCGCCGTCGACGATCGTCGTCGTCGTCGTCCGTCGTCGCCGTCGTCGTCGTCGTCGCCGTCGTCGTCGCGTCGTCGTCGTCGTCGTCGTCGCCGTCGCCGTCGTCGTCGTCGTCGTCGTCACCGTCGTCGTCGTCGTCGTCCATCGTCGTCGTCGTCGCCGTCGTCGTCGTAGTCGTCACCGTCGTCGTCGTCGTCGTCGTCGCGGTCGTCGGCGTCGTCGTCGTCGCCGTCGTCGTTATCGTCGCCGTC